TCCGATTTCAATGAAACAAAAACTAATATGTTTCTCATCGCGAGTAATGTAACGTTCAACTAGACATTAAAAAAAATTGTCTCTTGAGGGGGTGAACCACCCCTTGATTATTACTTTTTTCACCCTATTTAAAAAACTTACGAATGGAATTCAATGAAATACGTACCATTTGAAAGAGGAAGGAAAATTAAAGTTTACATGTTTTTGCGTTTTTGCGGGATGTCACGTTTAAGGGGGTAAACCACCCCCTGCGTACCGATGCATGCATTCCCATATAGGACCGCATCTCGCGCAATTTAAAAGTGTAAATTAATTAAAAATATTCTTGTTACTGACAGTGGATAAACAGAAAGTGAAAATTAACGCTTCATCCGTAATTAAGCGGGTAAGTTTATTTAGAGTTTGAATATCAATTAATATAATAGTCCTCACACTCTGCACGCTTCCGCCTAGAGGTAAGTACGGTAGCTAGTTCACCATAGTACCAGTTTCTATTATTTTATATTTAAAATATATTTTATTAATAGTTAATATTTACCAATGTGAAGCGATATTTTTATTTGTATCCCGCGTCCATAAGACGAGACGTGAAGAACAAACGCGTGACGAGGCAGGAGAATTTTATTAATTTTCACTTATTGTTTATCCAATGTCAGTAACAAGAATATTTTAAATTAATTTACACTTTTAAATTGCGCGAGAAGTGGTCCTATATGGAAGTCCGTGCATCGGTATGCAGGGGGTAGGTACGGAGGGGGTAGTTTACCCCCTTAATTAGGGGTAATACCTTAATATTCACTTATTTTTTATCGATTGCCACTAACGAGAATATTTTAAATTAATTTACACTTTTAAATTGCGCGAGAAGTGGTCCTATATGGAAGTCCGTGCATCGGTATGCAGGGGGTAGGTACGGAGGGGGTAGTTTACCCCCTTAATTAGGGGTAATACCTTAATATTCACTTATTTTTTATCGATTGCCACTAACGAGAATATTTTAAATTAATTTACACTTTTAAATTGCACAAGAAGGGGTCCTATATGGGAATGCATGCATCGGTACGCAGGGGGTGGTTTACCCCCTTAAAAGTGACATCCCGCAAAAAAGCAAAAACATGTAAACTTTAATTTTCCTTCCTTTTTCAAATGGTACGTATTTCATTAAATTCCATTCGTAAGTTTTTTAAATACGGTGAAAAAAGTAATAATCGAGGGGTGGTTCACCCCCTCAAGAGACAATTTTTTTTAATGTCTAGTTGAACTTTACATTACTCGCGATGAGAAACATTTTAGTTTTTGTTTCATTGAAATCGGACGATTCATTCTAGGTGAAACTGTATTACCACCCCTCGACATGCCCAACTTTGGGGGTTGATTTCACCCCCTAAAACCGTTTTTCCGCCGATAAAAAAAAAACACGTATCTCTTAGATTTTCATGCGCTACAACATAATTGAGTTTCATCAAAATCGGAGGGGGACACTAAAGTGACGTTCCTTGTGAGTACCGCATAGGTGCTCTAGAGCATCGAGATGTGGCAAGAACGATTGTGTCACCGTATAACACGGCTAACTAGTTTATCGCCAGCCGAGTGATTGAAGAGGCTCTACCATGGACGTTGGCTGTGAATTGGAATCCCTCAATTTATTTATGAGGATCCAGCTCAATTTGAACGTATGAAGTAGACGGTAAAGCGATTTCGAAAGACGCATACCGGCACCCACGCTCGCAGCTGCTAAGTAGCGTCGTACCAAAATCTGAATATTTTGTGTGGAAATGGTAAAAATGACGAGGAGACGCAGGACGTTCAGAGAAGTTTGAGTGGAGAAACGTTCGTGATGTTCAAAAATTATCATATTCCAAGCCATTAGTTCGTTTCGGAGGAGTTGTCGAGTATTTGCAATTCACAATGAGTCTTACTTTGTTAGGCAATTGCTACCTACCTACGCCTGCGGCATTATTCAAATTGATAGGGAAGAGGAAGGATCATATTGAACGATGTCGTGTTCAACCTGAATGATGCGAAAGAGAAAGAGACTGTCCTAAGACAAGAGTTTTGTCTGAGAATATTACCCGAGCAAAAATTTAATCAGGTTGCCTGATGTTTCATCAAGACTGAATCGGGGATTAGTAAGATATGCCTGATAAGGCTCACCAGGTATTAGTCTGATCAGGACCTGATCTGGAGCTGATCTAACATCGATACGTCTTGCCTGATCAGGCAAACAGACCGTATTCTTTCGTAGAACATGCATTCTTTCCATTATTTTGAAGTTGAACTGATCAATCTGGAATCACGCCGATGTGGGGACTCAATAAGAGGGCTATTCGCTCAGATTTAAGTCTCTGAACTGTTCATTCTAGCTGTTCATCTCTTATTACTGTATATCTGGCATGATAATAATGAAAACAAATAAGACTGAAATCAGTAAAGGAAATAATGAAAAAAGACGGTCCCGTTTTATTATTCATAATTCGATAAGGCGTGAACGTCGTTCGTCAGGTTACTGATTCTTATGATATTCGCACTGATATATCTAATGGTTACGATAGTGTAGGCGGGTTTATGTTCAGATCGGAACACGTTCAAATCTGTTCCTGATTCGACTAACTCCGGGCTGTAACAGCTCTAGTAGAAATTTCCTAGTCGTTTGCCCGATAAAGAAAAAACCTCTGTACTGGGCTGAGACTAAGCATCCCCAATAATAGAAACGTAGCTAGTACTCACAATCAGTATGGCGTGCACCAATACGCCAAACTATTCATGTACATCACGATTCGCTCTTTCGTTACTACCCAAGCTTATCAGGGCTCGAACTAGGCGCGCGCCAGTACCATCAGATATAAACCTAAGTTTAGTTCAAACAGTTTCTTATCACAATGACAGTTTCTTTATAGGATCTCGTCAGTGTCCAGAGCAAAATTTATTCGAGTGCTCATTTACTATGACAATATGAATCGTAAAAGAAAATTATCCCGTCAAACGTGTGTGCTAAACTGGTAAATGCCTATGCCTAGACAAAATGATTGAGCTTGTGCTTGGAAAACGGACGGTCCAATAGCATATGACAACAATTGAACTTTAATTAAGCATTTGATATAATTATTGAAAATTCCAGATTTTTTTTATAGTCTTAATAAACACGTTTACGAATACTCCACAAAATTATGTTTGTAAGAATCAATTTCCCATACGTTGATTAACTTTTATATACAATGTAAGAGTTATATTTTCAGAATAATTAAATAAAATAACAATAAGCATCAACATGTATAAAGATACATGCCGAATGCAAAACTTGTTACTATTAAGGCACCATTATCATGTCAATATGCTTTTAAAAACTCTATTTAATATGTGAGAGCCATGATGCTTTCAGGTGAAGATATTCTTGGGAAGAAGACATTTAAGATATTCTGTACGAAATTGAGAAGAGAAAAGATTGGGAGACCAAGTGAAAGAGAATTATTGTACATGAACCAGAATGACGAGTGGTTAGAGAAGGATTCACGATTCAGCGGCGATACTTTATTTACTTCTCGGTAAAATGGTATTCGCGTATTCATGCAGGAATTATAGAGTAAGCCAGGAAAATGTTTGACTTCGAGGGTTCTAGGGGAATATGTAGAATCTTGATACGTTAACTAATCCGACAATCGATACAATATCGTACGTATGCATGTATATCAGTGTGCATGTCCATACACACCACATTGCTCTGATTTATTATTCAATCGGTGTACTCTGTTTACGATGCAAACGAATACAAGTCAGACTGCATATCGCTAAATAATGCCTCCTTTTTCGTTCTTTTATTTTTCCTCTCTTTCTCTCCTAGGGAATTTGGTATGATGGTTAAGAATTTACCTTATTTTTAGTAAGGTATCACAATGGTTCTGGCAGGAGTTTCTTCGAACTTGGGCGATAGGGCTCTTCGCGAAATGGAAAACTTGGAATCTCTTGGTCTTGGCAGAGTTTCAAGAGACGCGTTGACGCACTACGATTTCGCAAAGGAAGAAGCGTTCCGACTCTCGTACGTTGAATCTTTGGTTAAGGAAAGTGCATGGTCTGCTTAGTCCTCGCCCCCTTCCCGCTGCCCCTCCCTGGCGAATTATGATCAAAATGTAACCAACAACAAAAAGAGAGAATAAGTTGCAGCTAAGAGAAAGTCTTGTCTCTATTATTTCCAATGGTGGTTGCATTCGAGAAGAAGAGCCCGGATTGGGAATTTGGCAAAACGCCATAGAAAGTTAATTCGCCTCAGCCCCGAATTAATCTCCGCGTATAAATATCGCTCTGCTCTAGGAAACGTTGCTGATCTTACAATGTCTTAGAGCTCAAGAACCCGAGATCTGTGCCCAGCTACCGTGTATCTCTTAATTCTTCAGACTCACGACATTTTCAGACTTTAAGACATTCAGGCGAATCGCATCCCTTCTTGGTGTCAACCGCACATTGACACTGTTGGCACCAGATGGAACACCGTGAAAAAAAGAGATTTAAAAGAAACAGATTATTTGTCGAGCAACTTAATCGAATCATAAATCAATGAGCAAAATGACAAGAAACCTACATTGTACATAGAAATTTTCTTTACCAAGTCCAAGACCCGTCTAGGCCCCCACTAGGCCAGTATAGAACTATCTAGGACCTGGACGGGCCCCCGATTTTTATAATGGAATTTCTACCAGAGTTTTATAAACATGGCAAGTGATAAAACGTGTATTAAAATTTTGCCGCATCTTATGTAATAATGATTCGACCCGACAAGGAGAATGTAAGGAATAGAAAAACGACACTACCGATAGATAATGTCAGCGGAGTGATAGTGCCAGTGCTAGTGGATAAGTTTCACTGTGGCAGCGGCGGCGCGCATCCCGAGGGATTAATCATGGGGCATTATAGTGGCGCCGGCTCAAAAGCAACCAGGAACCGGAACGAGAACTCATGCAGCTCCAGGGCTCGCAAGCTAAAGGGTTCAATCGCATGCCTGCACTCACCTTACGCTTCCGCCCCTCTGTCACCATCCTATCTCCTCCTTGTTACTCCTGGTCCAAAATCTTCCAACACCTCCTTTCACCCTCCTCTAGTTTCATCTAACTGCTCCGACCACCTTAGACTCCAACCCCATCCGCTGTAACTCGCGTTAATGAGGGCATAAACGCCACATAATTTCAAAGTTCGAGACGAGTTAGGGTTGCTAAGACGCGACATACCGCCTATGATTGGATAGCGTTGCGACAAGCTTACAGCTGAGATCCTATGAGGATCGAGCGTCGCTTTTATGCCGAGCAGTTTGAGACTACCTTAGCGTGCAGGTAGTATAGGTATTCCCTACGCAGACCTTACTTGTGTGCAAAACAGTAAAAAACTTAAAATTAATCAACGTTGTCACTTACCGATTACACTATGTCAAGAAAGATCTAGAGTTCATAGAAACACTATTTCATTTTACTTGAATCTATAAATGGAGGCAAGGAAAGTAAAAATGAGTTGGCAGTTTCTTTGAAAAGTATATACCTCATTGCATCCTTCTGAATTTTCAGTCAATTCTTGGAGAAAGTCCTATTAACCTAATAACAGTAAATCAATTAAGAGAATTTTGCACTTGTAATTAACTTATTATTACTTATTATACTTTAAGAGACACCCGTAGCAAGATGTCTCATTGCCAATGCTGTTTTGCCAAAGGTAATAAATGGTTTTCCATTAATTTCCATTGATTTACTATACACTTCCCTTGGCAAATCATCATTGGCAATGGAACAATTTACTACAGGTCGTGGTTTCGGTGTAGCTGAATAGGACTCCTTTTTTAGGCCACGAAGAATTCTCTATTTTTTAACTAATAATTATAATTATGCCGCATTACAGCACGAGCCATGGCGATAAATCTATAATTAACGCATTAAAGTGCTCGAGGACTCCATCAAGTCCTTATTAACGGTTGACCAAGGAGAGTCTTGACAGCATCTTAGCCAATCAGAACCCAAAGGCACTGCCCTCGTGCGCTTTACTGTGGACTTTAACCGCCTACCCTGGCGCCTCCTCTTATCCGATAGCAGTTTCTCCTACAGAGATACCGTAGTGACTTAACTATGAACGGACAACATTTTAACAAATTAAACGGACTCTTTCACGTTTTAAAACAATAAAGAAGTGACCCATAGGAAATTAGAAATAGCGAATACAACACAGCGGCTTAAACAATAAATGTTCAATCGATTACGTCCGTACTAATAACGAATGTGAAAAGAAATATCTGCGACTGTCCAACGGTATTCAAATGTCAGAGCACATGACTTAACCCGGATAACATTCTTCAGGGCTAACGCCCGAAAATCTCGTACTTAGAGACACAGAAGTTCCTTTACCGAGGCAATGTATCACGTAACACTTAATTAATTTTACGAATCGACCCAATGTGCAACTCACTTTCGCACGGCATTGCCAAAAACTGCCGAAATGCATTAGAGGGCCGTTTTATGAGTATCAGCGAAGTGAACGCGGCTATGATTGGTACTCGACATTCGACACCTGACACCTAGCGTCCGATGAACATTGAGCAATGAGTGACCGCTACAGCTCACTCGATTCGCTGCACTCGTTAAAATACTTTTTGATGCAGGTGGATAGATTTGCAGAGTCTTTCGCACGGGCTAATGACACCCGATGCAGCCTAATGCAGGTCGATTGGCTCATTGCAAAATAATCTTCGTGCAAAGAGCCATAAGCTAAAGAGAACAGATTTTCTCTCGTTCCATTTGCACGTTAGTAGAGCCAGTATACAGGGTGCATCACGAATCGTGATCAGTAAAGATTACTTTGTTATTAGCAGTCCAATCGAAAATGTTTTTATCAGCTTTTGCATGGTTTCAAGAGAGCTTTAACGCGATAGTGAAAAATTACTGGTCAACTCTGTTTTTTAATGTTTTCTCAAGGTTACCTTGAATTTTTTGCAACTGAACATATAATTTTTTTACGCCTGTCTGTTAGAGGATTTCAAGATGAATTCGGCACATGTAAGGACATGACATTTTTTTCATCTGATTCGAAAGAAAATTAAAAAACTTTGTATCACAAGGAGAATCACAGCTACGCCGTTATTACGCATCCAATGTTGTTGACAAGTCAAAATTACTTACCGATCTTACTCCATTAGATTACTTTTTGTGGGGTACATTAAAAGACAAAGTTTATACAGATGCTCCAACAACACCGGAAGATATGCGACGAAGGATTGCGGATGCATGCTCAACCATCAGTGTAGAGGCCATAAAGAATGTAAAACAATCTTTTGTTCACCGTCTACGAGAGTGCATTGTAGCTCGTGGACACCATTTTAAACATTGCTACAATTAAGATTGGTAAATTTTGACTTGTCAACAACATTGGTTGCGTAATAACGGCGTAGCTGTGATTCTCCTTGTGATACAAAGTTTTTTAATTTTCTTTCGAATCAGATGAAAAAAATGTCATGTCCTTACATGTGCCGAATTCATAACGGCGTAGCTGTGATTCTCCTTGTGATACAAATTTTTTTAATTTTCTTTCGAACCAGATGAAAACAATGTCATGTCTTTACATGTGCCGAATTCGTCTTGAAATCCTCTACCAGACAGGCTTAAAAAATTTGTATGTTCAGTTGCAAAAAAATTCAAATTAACCTTGAAAAAACATTAAAAAACAGAGTTGACCAGTAATTTTCCACTATCACGTTAAAGCTCTCTTGAAACCATGCAAAAGCTGATAAAAACATTTTCGATCAAGCTGCTAATAACAAAGTAATCTCTACTGATCACGATTCGTGATGCACCCTGTATAAACAAAATAAGTATTAAGCGAAGTATGAATCTTATGTTGGCATGGTTCTCGGATACTTCTTATCGGTGTAAAACTTATCGGATTTCGGTTCGCGTTAGATATGTGATCCAAAATCTCAGCGAGTAGGCGTACTCGTGTAATTAAGCCGCATGAGATTTGCATAGGATCCGACAGATAGTGCGCGAGCTTCCCGGCTCTCTTGCGAACCTTGAGAAGAAGCTAAGGTTAGTAGTGCTGGCAGAGAGTGTTAATTCGTTTTTGTGATCGTGCTATCTCGCCCTCGTTTGCAAACTGCTCCACGGTTCGCTGGTAACTCCACTTGCATTCTAAGAACGTGCAATGTCGAAAAAATTCATCCCACTTTGACAGGACCAATGTTTTTATTTCATTAAGAAATTGTGCTCTCGCTCAGGGGAACGTTAGGGTATAACTTTAAATTTGGGATGAAAGCTCACTACTCTGGCATTCTGAGGAGCATCAGCGAAGTTTGTATCCCCTAGAAAGATTAATGTATGTTTCGCATGCCGGTATGCGGTAAAATCTCACCTAAGCTATTTATATGCTGAATAATTGGAGTAAAGATATAGACAAAAGTTAAATCCCAGACCGAATAAATTGATAATTTTCACTGTATTCCAGTGGAACTAACCGTTCGTCTGAAACAGAAGCTTGATTAACGTTCAATCGTGATAGTAGTTACACTGCTTGGTCTAGCCTAAATAATTATCTGCTATTTGGTGCACGACATTATATCACCCTCTATCAATGTAGACAGCAGGATAAAGTCGAACGTCCTTACAATAAATATTTCGCCATCACGTTACATTCGTCTAACATTATATTTTCTCGCGTGACCCTCTATGAATATCCCCGAGCCTTCTCGGCAGAAAGTTCAACGAGTTGATCAGCAATAACGTCTTCATAGTCAAAAAGTTGCGTCTTCTCACGAAAACGAATTACGCAATGTGTGTTTACTTGTGATATATTCAAGGATATTTCCTATTGCATCTAGAACCTTTTCTGCTTTTACGTTTTAGAGCAAATTATAATTTTTCACCAGCGTCCTAAACTTTTAAATTCCCAATTTATTCCGCTTCAGAATTTATATATTCCTATCTGCAAACAATTAATAGCGACTTTCTATCCTCACAGGTTGAATCGATATTGAACGATACGCAGGCGAGGTGTCCGGGTATTAAAAGAATCGCCGTTGACAGTGAGGAACGCTTAACGGGTGCGAACGACAAGTAAATAGTCGAGCAAATAGTCAGACACTCGCGAAAAGATAGGCAAGCAGGTAGGGAGATAGGGTGAACCATTGGTCAGAGGTAGTAAGAGTGGACGAACACGACCTAGGTTACGAGTGAAATCGCTAGGGTATTTTAAAAGTCCATTCACGTAACGTACAATATAGTAAATCGGGCAAAGAGTAATGCCTTGCTCGTAAATAACATGACAGATGTTCGACGGAGGCACGGCTGGCGTGCACACGCTAAATCTCGACAGAGATCGATACTCCTAACTGCGAGCAGCGAACAACCAACGGTGAACGGTGACTCTAGTGGATCGATTGATCTTCCGGCTCCTTTATCCCATTCTTTCTCTCCATTTTCCGGCTCTATTATACAAGCAAGTCTGACTAATATCTAATTAACGGTTTCATAATTTTTATGAAAATGACGTAAAGAATATGTCGATATGAATGTTTAAAATGATAGCTATAGGCATCCGAAACAACGTAGAACGAATAACATGTAATCATCAGAGGTGAGAGTAAGTCGCAATCCACAGAGCTAAAGTTGTACTTCCTACTACTGTAGCCATTCTCATAGTTTATTAATAGAACGATGTTCGAGAAAGGTTCACCGAAGCATAGAGGCTTCATGAAATACTACTCGTAAGCTGCCTGAAATTCTACTCGCTATCTCTAGTCTTAGTCACGTGTGCAATATATGTGATAAGGTTGATAACGCACTTCTATTTACAATTCAATGTGGTAAGCAGTAGTTCTAAGGAAATGAAGGGAATGGACAGACTGAACAGTAGGAGGAGGTGGAGGGTGGCAAAGAACAGCGACACACAACAAAGGGTACGAAAGGTTAACAAAGGGTATGCAACACGGCGAGCCTAACTGAAACAAATGTCCATAGTTGCCGAAGCAGTTACGGGACATTGTAATGGTGTCAACTTTGTCCATTAACCATCAATTTCACACGGAGCGTTAGCTAACTGTGCCAAGGCATATACCTTTACTGTTGCTAAATCTAATCATATTGCAATTATTGCCTTCCACGTATGTTGAGTTAGTTG